GCCGGCGCGCGCGGCGCGGCGGCGGCGGCGGCGCTGGCGTCGCACGAGTCGGACGATGCGGAGGGGCCGGGCGGCCACGGGCACCACCACCAGCATGGGCGCGCAGAGCGGGAGAGGGAGCGGGCGGAGTACTTTTACGGGGGCATCCGCGAGGGCCGACGGCGGCGGGGCTGAACGGGAGGCGCGTTTATCCTCGGCCTTCTCAGCCTCGATGCTCCCGGGCGCCGCTGCCTGCCGCCAGGACCCCTTGCTGTCCGGCGTGACGCATGTTCATGTGACTCTCGCGCACCCTATGTATCCACACAGCCACTGGCATTACTCAGGCACCCGGCAGGCCCATGCTCCTGCAGATCCATTGATGTTTCCCTTGATGCTTGCATTCATCGCAGCTTTCGTGCGGCTTAGTCCCGCCGGTGCATCTCAACGTGCTCCCCGCCCACCAGCATGCATGCTTGCCTCCCATTTGTCGCCGCTGCCGCGGCCCCTGCCCGGCGCCCCCGGCCATCTGCTGGATGTGTTCCCCCTGGCTAGGCGCCACACCCCAAAGATATTTCCAACATCCTCGGACGCAGCCGGCGCGTGCTTCGGCCATGGTCCTTGCCTAGTGGCACGCTGACACTTGTGGTGCGCCCTCTGCTGGTGCAACAGCCCCACCTGCAACATCAGCACCAGCTCTTGCGTTTCTGGACGGCACCATCCAACAGATCCAAAGCCAGGCAGCATCGCAGCGAAAACTCCAATGCAAGGCGTCAAAAAGGGGACCGCTCCGCCGTCGCGTGTGTGCCTGCAGCTTCAAGCACCTGAGGGGCGGGTCGGGTGGCTACACTGGTTTGATTACTCTCGGGACTTGCGTCTGCCACCTTCTGTCGATCCTCGTTGCAAATCAGGAGTGTGAGGCTGCAGACGCCCACAAAAGCAATTGACAAGCGCAGATAATCCACATGCATGTTGGGCTTCCAAGCCGCTGGAGACGCAAGGGGGGCAGTACCAGGCAACAAATCAGGGCTTGATTGGTTGGCAAAATCTGGAATGCCACATATAAGCGATGTGCCAAAAACGCGGCCCGGTGCCCACGAGTCAGCGGGCTCGTTTGATCGGGGTCAAATGTCCTCAACCAGAGGGGCGATGCACGCACACAAAGTGCACTGCACCGGCGGAGAAAACAAGTCATGATGCAGCCGCGGGTGATGGGGGCAGCGCGGGCGCATGCAGAAATGCTGGGTTGCGCCCGCGCCAAGCCCCGCACGCGCCAAAGGCAGATCCGCAGAGACCTCTCAGAGCCGCCATCCCAGGCGGCGGTGCATGGCCTCAACAATTGGTGACAATGCGGCGCGACAACGACGCGTGCGCCACATCACATGACCAAGACGGAGACGTCGTGCATGCTGGCGCAGGGGGCCCCCTCAAAGTCGACGACCACAAACGCCGGCAGCCGCTGCCAGCCGCGCCGCAGCGGCAGCAGGCGGACGGCCACCTCGTGCGAACTTCCCGCCGAGAAGTCCCCGATCTTCACGACCCGTGGCCCCACGACCGCGACGCCAGCGGCGCCGACCTCGCTCGGCTGCTGTTGCCGCAGCTGCTGCTGCTGCTGCTGCTGGTGCTGCTGCTGGTGCGTCGGGTCGCTGTGTAGTAGCAGCAGCGGCCCCGGCGCGCGCCGGCCGGCGACGGGCGACGCCTCAACCTGCAGTATCACATTGAACGCGCGGCCCAGCCGCACCTCTGCAGGCAAGCGGCCCAGCCCCAGAGATACCCCGCTCGACGCCACAGAGGATGCTGGGAGCGCCCCGAAAATGGGCTGGGTCTGCAGGCGCCCGCTGCGGCCGTCAGAAGCCGACCAGGCGATCTCCAGCCGCCCCAGGCCACCTGCCTGCTGCTGCTGCTGCTCCGGCTGCTGCTGCTGCTGCTGCTGTTGCCGCGTGCCGCTTGGCTGCAGCGATGCCCCCGCAGGCACCGCCGCCGCCGCCGCCGCCTCCTGCTTGCGCACTTGCCACAGGTAATGGCGGTTGCCGCCGGGCGGCAGCGCCCCCTCCCCGGCTGTCGTCCCCACAAACTCGGGCGCTGACGCGCCCCCGCCCGCCGCCCCTGCACCCGGCTCTACGGGCGCAGCGCCGCGCTTGCGCAGCACATCGCGTTCGGAGGCCGTGTCCAATTCCGGCTCCTCGCGGCCTTTCGGCAGCGGCGCGTCCTGCGGCGGCTTGCCAGAACTGCCCAGCTGCTGCTCCTGCTGCTGCTCTTGGTCCCGGCCGTCCCCCGCCGCAGCAGCCGCCGCCGCCGCCGCCGCCGCCGCGACGGGGTCGCAGGCACTCACGCCGAGCAGCGGCGCAAAGCGCACCGACTGCAGCAGCAGGCTGCCCTGGCGCATGGCGTTCTCTATCGAAACCTCCAGGAAGCACTCCGCCCCGCCGCCGCCGCCGCGGCCGGGCCCGCGGCCCGGCCAGCTGCACCCCGCCGGGCCGCCGCCGCCGGCGGCGCCGCTGCCGCTGAGAGCCGCGCCGCGCTCGAAGACGCCAAAGCCGCTCGCGCCCTCGACGCGTCGCGCGGTGGTGGGCACGGCGCGCACCTTTGTGCGGACGGCGACAGGCGTGAGGGACAGGAGTTTGAAGAAACCGACCTCGAACTGGGCCGGGCCGTTGGCGCCTGCGGGCGCGATTGTCCGTGCGCGCATGCAGAGCGGGTAAATGGCAATGCGCTCCATGTGCATGTTGGGGTCGTGGTTTGATCGCACAGGTCGACGCCCTGTGTAAGGCCTCACTGAGCATGAATCACACAACGCCGCAGCTGCTCACGTTTCTACCCTGCCCCGTCCCATGCGCCCGGTGCAAGCATGCTCCTATGTGGCGCGGCTCCTTTCCAGCTCCTTTCCAGCTCCCCGCCGGACGCCGCAAAGCGTGCGCGGCGCGGGCGGACGCGCCCGCCAGGCGCAGGTGAACACCCACCCTTGAACACCGCAGAGCAGGCCAGGGTGCAGGGCCCCAGGTCTCGGACGTCAAACCCAGCAGACACCACCCTCTCCCTGCCCGGCGGCAAAATCGCTTCGTCCAGCACGGCGCCACCTCCCACGCCGCCGCCGCCGCCGCCGGGCCCGGGCGGCGGGGGCGGCGCGTGCTGCTGCACCCACTCTGACAGCAGCTGGCTGGCACCGCCCTTGTCGCCAGACAGCTCGATCTTGACTGAGCTCAGGACGACGAGTGTGGTGCCGACGTTTGAGAGGACCATGTCCAGGGAGAAGGGCTGCGCGGGGCAGCAGCGATTGGGCAGTGTGAGGGGCGATGCGGCGCGGCAGCTCGCGCCTGGCAATGTGGGAGGCGCGAGTGCCGAGCATCGCACCGCACGAGGCACGGAAACGCGTCGCGGTGGCACCCACGGCGAAGAGGCGCTGCCAATATGCTCGTGAGCCTCACCTCTCCCAAATAGACCAGCGTGGTGCCCTCGGGGTCAAGCAGTGGTGAGGTTCCAGCTGGGGTCACCTGAGTGCGCATGCATGATATGCTCAACGCCATTTCAGCGCCCTGCAATCAAAAAACGGATGTCAAATTATACGCATCTCAGTGTGTGCTTATGCCGCTCGAAGCGTAATTGATCTTGGCCACCAGCATGGCGACGCCCAACGGCTGAACGATGCTCCAAATGCAAGATTGAGTGCCTTGTGACAACCACTATGTGTCGAAAACGTCGCATGCGCGTGCGGTCCACAATACACACCCGAATTCACCACGACTCATGCTGATGCTGCTCGTGCTGCGCAGGCTCCCAGCTGACTTGGCAACGTCGGGTCATGGCCCCACGCCATGCTTGATATCCTGCCCCCCAAGACAGCATCAAGAGTGCAGATAGACATTCGTTCCCTTGTGGGTAGTTACCCAGCGGCACAGCTCAGTGGCCCGCGTTGGCACGTGAGCGCGCGCGCCGCTGCTGCGTCCCGCAACCCTCCTTCCTCGCGCGCGTGCCGCAGCACCGCCAGCAGCGACCACGCCGCCTGCGCGCCGCGCCAAGCGCCTGCCACCTCCAAAGCCCGCGCCCCCGCCTCCAGACGAGCCGCAGCCTCTCGGGCGGCGCGCTCGCGGGCGGCTGCCGCGCCCTTGGCTCCTCGCCGCTGCTCGGACTCGCTGCCCCCTGCTGCCACCCCCACATCCATTCTATCTGAAAGCGCCACCTCAGCCATAGCCACCTGCAGCTGCCCCACAGCCTCCCGATCCCTCCCCGCCAGCGCGGGCAGCAGCGCCCCCCGCAGCAGCATCAGCGCCTGCCGCGCGCCGCCGGGCGGCGGCGCGAGCGCGTGCCACAGCCGCGCGACGAGCAGCGCCGCGCGCGGCGCGGGGCGCGCGAGGCAGAGGCGCTGGCAGTGCAGGCTGGCGCTCAGGGCAAAGGGCAGCGCGCCCGAGGGGTCGCCTGCCGCCAGATGCAACTCCCCCAGCTGCAGCAGCGCAGACGTGGCCGCGGCCTGCGAGTGTCAAGTCACACGGGGCGTGCCAAGGAGGCCGCGTCGCGCATTGCTTGCAAAAGGCAGCAAGGAGGTCTACGATGGTGTGCGGCCAGTTGGGCGGCTGGCTTTGCCGACGTCGACATTCGTGTGGATACCATATGCAGCGGCGGATGCGAGAAAGCCCTCCGAGGCGCCCAGCTACAGAGCGTGCACCCAAAATACTCGAGCGCGCCGCGCGCACGCCCCCCCCGCGGCCCACCTGCATGCCTGCCCGCGCCGCGTCCCGGAAAGCGCCCGCCGCCGCGTCGTGCGCCGCCGCCAGCGCGCCGCCCGCCGCCAGCGCGGCCGCGCGGGCCAGCGCAGCGTCGAGCTTGATTTCTCGATCCAGCCCCGGCCCTGGCTCCGCTGTGGACGCCAGCTCAGACAGCCACAGCTGGTGACCGTGTGGGGTTGCGTGTTGTCATGTGTGGCAAATGTGTGAGCAATTTGTCTTTTTTTTGGCGATGTGTGGGCATGAGTCTACTCGTGTGCGAGAGAAAAAAAGCGAGAGGGTGCGCATGTGTGACGATGTGAGTGTTGGCGGGGTGAGGGGGCCTTTGTGGGAAGGTTGACTGATGCGATGCGAACCGGTCATTGCTTCCGTGGCCGCCGAGCTCGGGAAGGTGTGGCACGGCAGCGCTGCTGTGGGCCTGCGCGACGATGAGCTGCCGGGCGGCCTCCACAGCAGGCAGAGCAGGCAGAGCAGGCAGAGCAGGCAGAGCAGGCAGAGCAGGCAGAGCAGGCAGAGCAGGCAGAGCAGGCAGAGCAGGCACCTAATTGATGTGAGGGTCAGCACTCGTCCTCCCAACAACAAGTCGGGCCAGCCAGCGACCAAGCCTTGCATGCGACAACAACCAAGCTGTGTGCGAAACAAAGTCATCCCCACATACAGAGCTGCAGACTGCACTAGACCGCCCGCCCTGCGCTGCAAACCCCGGACACACCGCCCGCCCCACCTCGGCCGCCGCGGCATCCCCCTCTTCCACCGCGCGCGCCTGCATCATCCCCGCATTCACGGCCGCCAGCTGCTTGGGCAGCTGCAGGGCATACTGCTCAGCCGCTTCCGACAGGACAGCGTCAGCGGCGGTTGGGCCTGACAAAGGGCGGTTGGCGGGTGGTGAATGAGTCGTTGGAATTGTTGTGTGGGTGATTGAGTGGATGGCTGGTGAGTGGTGGGCAGAGGTGTGGTTTCTCAGCAGAAGAGGTGGTGAACGGGAGGCGCCTTCAGCACGGGTACAGGGCCGCAGGCAGGATATGGGTGTGCGGCTGGAGCATCTCATCCCCGCGTGGTGTGCCACCCAGCGCAGCGCCGCGCGGCGTGGGCGAAGGCGCACCTTGCTGCTCCAGCGCAAGCGTCACCAGCTGCGCCCACGCCGTCGCCGCATCCCCCCCGCCGCTGCCGTCGCCGCCGCCGCCAGCGCCGCAGCACGTCAGGTGCGCGAGCGCGTGCGCCACCGCCAGGCCCGGCGCGCCGTACTGGCGCCACGCGGCGGCCTGCAGCAGGTGCGCGGCGCCCGCCGCCTGCGCGCACGCGCGCGCGCTGGCGCGCAGGCTGCCGCGGGCGTCTGAGCCAAAGACGCTCGAAGGGTTGTACAGCTCCCCGACCCTGCCCCGCTGCGGCGCGCCCGGAAGCTGCGGCGCAGCTGCCGCAGCGGCCGCCGCCGGCGCGGCCGGCGGCGCGGCGGCCGCGAGCGCAGCCGCGTGCTGTAGCACGCACGCGTCCCGGAGCGCTGCCTGCGCGCGCAGCGCGCCCGCACAGGCGGGTGCCGCCTCGGGGCCGCCCCCTGGGTCTGCGCCGCCAGGGGCGGCCTGTGGCGCGGGCGCCCGCGGCTGCGGCGGCGCGGAGGCATGCTGCAGGTCGAAGCGGGCGATTGCGAGCCGCGCGAACGCCGCGATGTGCGGGCACTGCTGCTGGCAGGCAATCTTCAGGCACCGCCTGGGGTATTAGGGGGTGAGTGGCATACCCTGGAAGTGCACGTATGATAAACCTCCAAAAAAAGCAGAGCTTGTCACAACGCCGGCTTGCAAGACATCTGCTGCCGATGTCTGCGGCGAGCAGAGCCGCATCCGCGGGACAAACCACAGCCGCGTAAGTCCAAGGTGCTGCGCCCAGAACTTGCCTGCTGGACTCGCCGTCACCCCTGCCCTGACCCTGAATTCATCTGCCGCCACGTCAGCACCGCCCACCTGAGCAGCTCCAGCGCTTGCAGCTGCTCCTGGACAGCCGCCAGGTCCAGCCCACCCGCGGGCGGCCCAGCGCCGCCGCCGCTGCTGTCTTCACCCCCAGCGTCCCCGTCCGCCGCCGCGGCGGGCACCTCGCTGACGCCCTCTGACATCATCACGACGCGGCACAGGGCCGCCAGAGAGTGGGCGAGCGCCCAGGTGTCGCCCTGCGTGAGGTGCGCCGGGGGCGTCGCTCACGGGTCGACGAGCGCGCCTGCAACCCAGAATGTCCATTGGTGTGGCAGACGGACAGAAACAAACATGCAAAAAGCATCGCAGGCGTCTCGAAATTGCCAAGAGGCGCACGTCTGCGCCTGCCAAGGGGCCGCGCGGGTCGCGCCGCTCGCGCCCTGGGGGGTTGAGGGGGAAGCTTCCCACCTGCTGCTGCGCCAGCCGCAGGGCCTCGTGCAGCGCCCTTAGGGACTCGGCGGTGTGGCCCAGCTCGGCGTGGGCGGCGCTGAGGGTCAGCAGGGCGCTCTGGCAGCGGCCTGGGCGGGGCGGCGGGCTCGCAGCTTGTGAAATGTTATTTGTGTCTTGAGCAAGGGCTTGGAGCGGGCACTGGTATGATAAACAGCAGGCATCCCATTGTTTTTGAAATCGTGTCGTGAAATTCGCAGCTGCACATGCACGCCGAAGCGGAACACACCCTCACCCTTGGACGCTTCCCCGGCCGCCGCCGCCGCCGCCGCCGCCGCCGCGCCCGGCGGCACCCCCGCAGCGCCCCCCGCGGCCGCGCCGCCGCCGGCCGAGTCGAAATAATGGTGCAGCGCGCGGATGCAGGCGGCGGGGTCCCTCGATTTGAGGGCCTCCATCACATCCAGATACCGCAGGG